ATTGCCATTTATTAATGATTTATTTGATGTACATTGCAATAAAATGTCATCATCCAGAAAAATTTCAACTTTAGCAACAACTCCTACATCCTCACAATTGCAATCCTTAAGGCAAAAAGTTAATGCGACATGGGAGCATTGTGTAGAAGTTATGGATGGTGTAAGAAAAGTAATAAAATGTTTGCATTACCAAAGAACATTTAGAGGAAGGGGAATACATAAAATAAAACAACACCTTGTGGGAAAGCGTGGAGACATAAGAAAGTGTGATAAAGTGCCATTTGATGTTTGTTATCGGATGCAAAAGAGTTTGAAGGAAATTGAAGAAAGTAAAAGGCAAACACAAAACCAATGGAAAGACAATCCATTCAGGTCTAGTGCCATGGATCTCGAGGGAAATGCACCAGACTTGCAAGAGATCCCATCTTCAACAACACAACAATCACAATTCAAAGGAAAGGGGTTAGCTACTTCAATGGAAATGGGCAAAAAAAGGAAGGCAAGTGCAAGTGGGATTCAAAACTACTTTGCTCCAAGAACAGCTCCTAGATCTCAACCATTTATTAGAAGTGCAATGGCAAGTAAAGATGCTGTTCACAAGGCTGATATGGTTGTTGCTAGGTTTTTCTTTGATGGTTGTTTGCCCATAAATGCTATAAATTCTCCTTATTTTTGACCTATGCTTGATGCTATTGTTGCAATTGGTGCTGGTTATAAAGGACCAAGTTATCATATGATGAGAACCACTTTGTTGTGTGATTTGAAAAAGGAAGTCCAATTATTGGTTAATTCTTATAGGAGTGTATGGGCAGAGATCTGTTGCACTATTATGGGTGATGGTTGACAAGATCAAAGTAATAGGCAGTTAATTAATTTTCTTGTCTATTGTCCTAGAGGAATTACTTTTGTGAAATTAGTTGATGCCTTTGATGTGGTTAAAGATGCTTCTATGCTTTGCAATTTGTTTAAAGAATTGGTTGAGTTTGTGGGTGTTAGTAATGTTGTGCATTTGGTTACTGATAATGCAGCTAATTATAAAAAGGCTAGGAAATTGTTAAACGACATGTATCCTACAATCTTTTGGTCTCCTTGTGCTACCCATTGCTTAAACTTGATATTGAGTGACATTGGCAAGTTGAATGTTGTTAGTGGCCTAGCAACTAGTGCATCTTTGGTCACCAAATTTATATACAATCATCCTTTCTTGTTAGCTTGGTTAAGAAAAAGAAAAGGATGGATAGAAATCATACGTCCAGGGCCAACACGTTTTGCAACAACATTCATTACATTGAAAAGTCTTCATGATCATAAGCATGACTTACAAGCATTGGTTCCTAGTTTGGAGTTTAGAGAGTCTACATATTATAAAGATCAAAAGGCAAAAGATGTTGTGGCTATTGTTTTAGACAAGAAATTTTGGAATAATTGTGGGACCACTTATTTGCTTGCTTAGAATTGTGGATGGTGATGAGAGAGCTTCACTTAGATAAGTCTATGATGGCATGTATAGGGCTAGAAAAGCAATTAAAACAATTTTGATGAATAGGAAGTCTTTGTACAAGCTTTATACAAGAATTATCAAGGAAAGATGGGATAGACAACTTTGGCAAAATCTTCATGCTGCTGCCTATTATTTGAATCCGACTTTTTTTTTTTTATGATAAAGAAAATTTATCAACCAAAAAAGAAATCATGAAAGGTTTTATGAATGTTGTGGATGCAAAAGTATCATCTCAAAAGTCAAAATTCTTGAGTGAGTGTGAGCTGTATGACCAAAAAATGAAAAGCTTTGCTTGTGAAAGTGCTCTTGAATATTCAAAAACCATGAAACCCGATGAGATTTTAACATTTTTAAGTTTTAAAAGTTATTGTACTCTTTCCTTTTTATTTCTTTATGACATTTTTTTAACTTCTTATTTTATTAACATTTTTGTTATTTTATCTTCTTATCTTGATAGATGAATGGTGGAAATATTTTGGATATAGTGCTCCAAATTTAAAGAAATTGGCTATCCAAATGTTGAGTTAAACATCGTCTTCTTCAGGTTGTGAAAGAAATTGGAATGTTTTTGAAAGAATTCACACACAAAAAAAAGAATAGATTGGAGAAAAAAAGGTTAAACGATCTTGTTTATGTGCATTACAATTTGCGTTTGAAACATAGGTAATTTATTTGATCTCTAGTCTACAATAACATTTATTTTTTAAAGTTGTATACCTTTATTCATTTTCTTGAATTGAATATTTATGTTTCTTTTATATTTTATCTTTATCTTGAATGCTAGGAATGATAATAAAAAGAAGACTTGCTTTAATCTTATTGATTATGAAAGTATAGACAATGTTGAGGAGTGGATTATAGAAGAAGATGATTATCCAATTTTTGATTATGAAGAGTTGGAGAATATGATTTATAGTGATCAAGTATTACCAATATGCGGTAGAAAAGGTTAGTCACTTATTAAAGTTTTAAAGTAATTAACATGGTGTTTTGATTTTCATTAAAATTATGATTTATTTTTTTGATTTTTATTTGTTTCATGTTTTTCAATTAACCTTTAAGGTGGCACACATGACATTGAAGAAAGTTCAAGGTGGTGAAGGAGAATCATTATATGTTGAAGGTGCAAGTAGAGGAATTGATTTGGAGTCTATTGATGAAGAAAATGATGAAAATGATGACGTTGAAAATGATTTTTGTGAACGTGATGCATGGTTCAATGAAGATCCTCTTAATTTAAGGAGAAATGAATGAGCAAGCCCTTTATTAGTTCATTTTATTTGTATTTGAAACTTCATGAATTGTTATCTATTTGGGTTTAAAAGCCTATTTGGTAGAGCTCGTAGGAGCTTCAACTTTTTGACACTATTTATGTTTCATAAGTTTAAATTTCCCTCCTAGAATTTTACATTTTTAAACTTTTTTTTTAACCTTAAAAAGGCCTCAAACAATAAAACCTCAAAAGCTTCAAATCCAAACTTTTCATAAACTCCTTTTTACTCACTTTTCACTCACTTTTCACTCACTTTTTCCTATGTCTAAAAGCAATTTTAAAATTTTTCCTCCAATAAAAATTTACACTTATCACTCATAATAGTACTCAAAAAGAAAAAGCTTTCACAAGCCAAACCAACCAGACTCTAAGCCTTTTTAAGACTTATTGTCTATCTTTTCTAGTTGTTTTTGGATTTGAAACTTGTATTACTTGCTTATTTACTTGGTTTTTCCATATATATTTTGTTTTGAGAATTAGAATTGAGATTATTTGATGAGTTTTCAAGGTAAAAATGTAATATATTTATGTTAAAAAGTTGTTAAAAATGGTCAAGGTAGCAAGAAATAATGTTGAAGTTTTAGGAGGCTGGGAGTCTAGGACGTTGCCCTTCTCAAATCCCCCTTTTGTTTTGGGCCGGTCGGTTGACCAGTTGAATCAATCAAATCGATTAAACAAGAACCGAAACTAAAAATGGTTCATTGATTAGTTTGATTTTAAAAACCTTGCCTAAAACCCCTAGTTGGGTAGATCCCATCAAAGCTTACCTCTGACATGGAACTATCCCAAGTGAGTAAGAAGAGATGAAGATGTAGAGAAAGGCATCTCGATACACCTTGATTGATGATGTCTTGCATAAAAGATCATACTTGCTCCCTCTTCTTTGGTGTCTAACACCATACGAAGTCGAATATGCCCTTAGAGAAGTGCACGAGGGTGTGTGTGGAAGTCACATTGGAGCTCGAACTTTGGCCCATAAGGTACTTAGATAAGGTTACTGCTGGCCAAGCATGCAACAGGATGCAAAGCTTTTCGTGCAAAAGTGCTAAAAATGCCAATTCTTTGCATATTTTACCCATCAACCAGTTGAAGAACTTACCAATATGGTAGCACCATGGCTTTTTGCCCAGTGAGGGATAGACCTTTTGGGTCCCTTTGTGAAGGGTGTAGGGGTAGTAACTCATTTGGTTGTTGTTGTTGATTATTTCACCCAGTGGGTAGAAGGTTGATCTCTTTCTAGTTTGACTTCAAAGAAAATTGAAGATTTTGTATTCAATTTAGTCATCTGTAAATATGGAATACCAAACCAGATTGTTGCTAACAATGGCCCTCAGTTCAATTGCACCTCCTTAAGGGACTTCTATTTCAGTTATGGGATCTAGCTAGTCTTCACCTCGGTCTACCATCCTAAGGCGAATGGAATGGTTGAGTCAATCAACATAGCCATCTTGGAAGGAATCAAGTCGAGATTGGATCAACTCAAAGCCAAGTGGGCAAACGAGCTCAACAATGTCTTATAGGCTTACCGAACTACGAGCTGCATAGCTACAAGTATGCCATTAGCTCCAATCTCCCTTTCATTGTCTTAACCAAAGTCATAAATAACCACACATAGTAAACCTTTAAACTATAATTTCTTAAGCGAAACATCCTACCACTTGGCTTTTGGCACCAAGGCAATCATTCTTGTTAAAATTGGTGTCCCAAGTTTGAGAGTCAACCATTTCAACGCAACTCGAAATGAGCAGCTACTTAGGGAAGATCCTGATTTCCCAGACGAAGTCAACAAAAGAGCTCGACTTCGAACACTTGCATAGAAGCAAAAGGTTGCCAGCTTTTACAACAAGCAGGTTAGACCTCGAAGCTTCAAAATTGGTGACCTAATCCTTAAAAAAGTTGGACTCATAGGGTTTGAGACCCACTTCAGCAAGTTGGCACCAAATTAGGAAGGCTCATACAAAGTGGTCGAAAACCCTCACCCCGGTGTTGATATCCTTCAAAACTTCGAAGGCAAAAGGGCACCCAGAGTCTAGAATGTCAATAACCTCAAAAAGTTCTAACCTTAACAGTCTAGAGGTAATTTAATCCACATGTTAGACATCATTCTCTTATGTTATTTCATGTCCTAATTAAATCCGAGATGGAACCAGTTACCTATGTTATGCTTATAAATTTCATTTTAATCATTCAATTTTTCTCAAAACAAGACATTATGAAACTATATGAAAATGAGCTTTGAATTCATTAAATCAAAAATTTTGTACAATCATTATTTACAAAACGAACGAAGTAACAATCATTCAGTAGGCTGATTTGGCTTGTTAACACCTTCGCTTTCTTTGTCATCTACTAGCACGAACTTAAAGTCGAAGTTCAGCGGAAAAAGGTCCGACCTCGACTATCCCGATCCCATTTGAGTTCGATTTCAAGTCGAAAGTCAACAGTTCCACTCTCCCCGTTTTCCTCAACCTCTCCCTCCTAATCCCTGAACGTGACTTTTGTCACGTCGACCTCAGGGTACTGCAACTTTACCTTCTTTCGGCAATCAGAGAAGGTAACAATCACAGTTGGAAGCTGGTACAAGTTGATGATATTGTCGAAGGTACTGGACTTCCAAAACTTTGTTATGTGCACTTCAGCAGAGTTGTGTACTTGAAGCTCCAGCTTAATTGCTACTTTCCTCACTTCGTCCAGCTCATTTTCTTTCTTCTTGAGCTCGTCCTTGCAGATTCTTCTCTTCTGGAATGAGTACCCCGAGTCCCTTTTCAAAATGGCATTCTCCTCTCTGAGCTTATTCAGCTCAGAAAGCAATTTTGCCTTCTCCAACTTAACTTCCTCCTTTTTTTGGACAAGCTTAGCATTCTCAACCTGTAATCAAGTCCTGTCCTTCAAGCTATCAAAGAACTCGTTCGACAGAGCATTGACGAGGTTCATAGCCTACACAACAAACCAAAGTCAGTAAATGCAAGCCATGAGCTAAACTCAGAACCCAATAGAATTAAAATTTTTACCTTAAGGACATGATGCACAACACCAATTCTGCTTCACGTGGCCACCTCATCCTTGGCCCATTGACAGTTCATATCCAAGAAGTAGGTATTAATGAACCTCTTCGCCATGCTTCTCATGCCGGGTTCATAGTAGCTCGCTGTGGAAGCATGGATGTAACCTTTGCCCCCACTTGGAGGAACCTATAAAATAGGAACTGTTGCCTCAGCTTCAGTAGAAAAAGGGATGAACTCTGCCACTCCCCCAGACTCTTGTTTCTATTGATTTATTCTTCTTCTCTTAGCAGCCATTGGCTCCTCCTCCCCAACCACCTTCGTACTCTTAGCCTCTACACTCCTTGGTTGAGAGATGACCAGAGCCAAAGTGTCAGTAGAGTGGGTAAAGCTCCTTCCATCTCTTCTTCCCACCTCTGCAATAACCTTTGCCACCTTACTTTTCTTCTTGGGGATCCTAACCCCAGGGGCTGCATCCAAAAATTTGTTCATCTTGCTTGCAAAACAAAGCAAAGTTAAAACATCGATCAGAACCCTTCTATGAAACACAACAATTAAATAACACAGCTTTGCTCTATAAGCTTGGCCCATAGATTTCAGAAGCATCCAACATCTTCTGGCTTGTATACTCAAAAATATCTAATAAATCTTCAGACCCCCTCTCCAATGTCCTTACATCCTCCATCTCCCCAACAATTAGATTATACTTATTAGGATTTACTCCTTTCCCTCTCCACCTACTTAACACCTTTACCTTGGCGTCAATCTTGTCCCACTCCATGTCATCCACAAAAAAGAACTTGTCTTTCCATCATTTGATGGAAGATTATCCAGCGATGAATAACCCCCTATTCTCCTTGTTCGCTACCCAGCCAGTGAAAGAATACCATCCCCTCTCCCTACCACTCCTAACCTTCAATACATAAAAGTATTTGAACACGTTCGCGGTGAGAAATGGCACCCCCCGAGCTTGGCTATACACTGTGAATGCTATCACTAGCCACATAGCATTTGGAACGATTTACGTCAACCCTAGGTTATACCCCATCAAAACCCACACCAACAACTTTGGAATGGGGAACCACATCCCAACAGCCGAATAATAAGCATACATGGGCATCCAGTGGTCCCCCAGGGTAGAACAAGCCTTCTTCTTCTTACCTACTGGCCTTAACAATACCTGCCCAAGCACCCCATAGTTTTCAACCAAATATGTTAGACTCCCTCTACTCTTAAGGGATGTCTCATTCTCCATCACCTAAAAAACAACCTCCTCCTTAAGATCAAAACACCCCTCTCGCCCATTGTCCCTCTCGAGGATTTTCTGAGGAATTAATCCCCCCTTACTCGAACCTCTCCTTAATCCCCTCAACGCTAACCATCTCTTTAGAAGACATTCTCGCTACCTTGATGAAAAATACAAAATGAAGAAAGACACATAGATTACTTGATTTTGCTAGACCGAAACAGAGCAGAATAAGGTAAGTTCAAAAGCTTGTACAGTGTTAAAAGCAAAGTAACCAAATTTTTTTTGCGTGTGGATATATATATCCACCTTAAGGGCCATGATTTATTTTATCAAATGGTTGTAACTTCACCTTTTCGAATTCGTCATTTAACTTCCTGTCATGTCTTTTCGAATGTAACGGTTATTTTTTGCAACCCTCATTTATTACTGCATGCCCTTTAATGACAAGTGTTGCCTGGCGTACTAACTCCCTCCAGGGCTTAGTAAATGGGCCCATAGGGGCCCATGTTAAGTTCTTTTAGACACATTATATACAAGTATTCCACCTCCCACCTCTATGGGGACCATGTGTCATGACATTTTTACTTCGGTTATGGCTAAAACACATGGTCACGTGTCATGATATTTTTACCTCGGCTACGGTCCGAATACATGACCATGTGTCATGGCATTTTTACTTTGGCTACGGCCAAAACACATGACCACATGTCATGATATTTTTACTTTGGCTACGGCCCAAACACGACTACATGTCATGCATTTTCACTTCGATTATGGCCTAAACACATGACTACGTGTTATGCATTTTTACTTTGGCTATGGCCCAAACATATGACCTCCTCTCATCTTCATGACAACCAAAACAATAACCTTCTAATCATTCACAAGTGAATGACTTTGGGAGGGGAATAGCGTAAGGACATGGCTACCTTGGCAGTTACATTAAGAACGCCTGCACCCAATCACTAGTCTCCACCTAACCCTCCGTCTCCGAGAGATCTACTCCATCAGAATACGCCACGCTTATTTAACGCGGTTGCTCAGTTAAAACACGTTATGTCCACCAAAGATACATGCCTCATCAGACACATCATATCACAATTATGATGATTAAGAAAGCTACGTAGATGCCTTGTCAAAACATACAAATACGTCTACACATGGCTCCAAAGAGGTGTGATGAAAAAAGACCAAACACAAAACTCTTTCAATATTCTCATTGAGAGCGTAGACAAGATTATTGTTAACTTAAGCATTAAAGTATCTACTTTGAGGGCAACCCTCAAGGCTTTGCAAGTCAGTCTCATGAGGAGGCCACATCAAAGGAGGTCTCAAAGGTTTGCTGTATCAACAGACGGAAGTGATGGAGATGAATGGAGGAGGATATTTGATTTTGGTACTTTTTCTTCTTGAACATCAAAACATAGCAACAAAATGAAATAATATGAAGAGTGAGGATTTCATCTGGTGGATTCCTACATTTGAGTCTTTGATTGCCACTCTGTAAAAAATTTTGATTTTGACCGTGTTGAAAATAGATGGAGAACTGGAGAAGAAAGGCTGGGAAAGAGAGAGAAGGTAGGAGAGAGAAATGACGAAATGAAAAGGAGAAATAAAATAAAGAACCGACTGTAACCGGTTCCCAGTTTAGATGCCAAATTCGGTGACTACGTGGCAGCATAACGTGGAGGGTGCTCGAGCGAGTGACGAAGGGCGATTGCCCTTACCATTCCTCTTCCCAACATTTACCTGCCCATTTCCAAGCATCAATGACTGCATCTATTCCTCTATTTCGTCACTGGAATGGATTTGTTTAAGGGTATAATAAACAATTTTTTTTGTTTAATTTATATAAAAAATTATAAAAATTAATATTTATTTCAACATCATTAATACATAAATTATTTTAATTAATTAATTAAATTAAAAATAATACTTATAAATAATACTTGTACTTTTAATAAAAATTAATTATAAAATAAATATATTAATTATATTTTTAATTTACAAACATACAAGATAAAAAAACCCTCACTACATTCGTATCCACAGCTACTAATTATTGAAAAAAAAAGAAGTGTTCAAAAAAATCAAAAAAGAAAAATAGGAGGAGAGAGTAAATATGCACACATCCCCAGGCTCCGGAAGATGACAGTAACTTTTTTTTTCTCGAAATTAAATTCTTCCACTTTAAATTTTCTGTATGGCATTGCATAATTCGTTTGTACTGTCCAGCTGGCAGTGATATCATTAAAAGTAAAACAAAAAACAAAGATGAAAAAGTTATCCTCCAAATTCCCAGTCACCATCTCACCTTGGCAAATTCGTAGCACGCGCCTACCTAAATTCTTGAACAAGCTTTTGCCTGGCTTGATTAATCTATGGTGAAAAAACGACAGTCGTAAATATAAGATGAGCATATAATTTAATACTAATTGTCAACAGGTGGGCCAACATGGTTTGAACAAGCATGGTAGAAAAAAAAAAAACTTGGGTTTAAACAAAACTTTTTTTGTTTGTTAATAATTAGGGTGTTTTTAAGTTAATTTATGTATATTTAAAAATTAAAAAGAGATTTATTTATATATAAATTTTACATATTATATTTATATAAAATTTTAATTATTGATTTTTTTTATTTTTAATGATTAAAATTTATTATAAATCTTTAGATAAAAAATAATTATATTTAATAAATATGATAATAAGTGAATAAATCTCAATTATTACAAATAAAAAAATAAATGTTTATAATGTTATATAAATGCCATATGTAAAACTTATATATAAATAAATTCTAACATTTTAAAACTTAATTCTTCTTTAATTTAGTTAAATACATATTAATCACATTAAAATTAAAAAATTTTGGTTAAACCCCTATTTTGGTCCCTGAACTATTGTACGGACCCTTGATTTGGTCCCTGAACTAAAGAAATTCCTAATTTGGTCCTTGAACTATTGTACGGATCCTGAGTTGGTCCCTAAACTACTGTACAGACCCCGATTTAGTCCCTAAACTATTATATGGATCCCCAATTTGATCCACACTATTTACCAATTTAATCCCAACTTAGTTATTCTGTTAAATAATAGCTTAGGGACCAAATTGGGGCAAAATTGTAAACAGTAAGAATCAAATTGGGAGTCTATATAATAGTTCAAGGACCAACTTAAGCCAAATTATAAACAGTGAGGACCAAATTGGGGGTCCGTACAATAGTGTAGGGACCAAATCAAGGATTTCTTTAGTTCAAGGACCAAATCGGGGGTCCGTATAATAGTTTGGGGACCAAAATGAAGATGTACAATAATTTGGGGACCAAAATGAAGATTTAACCAAAAATTTATAAAGAAGTTCAAACTTCAGTCAAATAAATAAGGTAAAGAGAATTCTATTGTCAACTAAACTTAACCTATCTATATCTTAGATAAACTCTTATATTTAAGCAATGTGTTAAATATTTTTTTAGAGCTAATATTTTTTTACTTGAACATTTTCATCACAAGCAAGATTAATTATTGGTATCCACTTTAAATTTTTCACATGAATATCATTTTACAGATTTTATATTTACCTTCAATATTTATGTATATAATTTTACTTTCAAATTATATAATAAAAATTATTTATTTTTATTTATTTTTTAGTTTATTCGTAAAACTTAAAATCTCCCATTTCATTTAAAAAAATGATCTGAACCACTGTAATAATTGCCATCCGGGGCGTTTGGTGAAACAGCGCGTGGAGAGACACCTCTTTAGCTGGAGCGTGCCTCCAGATCGCTTCAAAGATATTTAAATCAAATTGGTTGGGAGAAAAAGAAGGAGCTTTTTAACCCATTCGGCCAGTGACAACTGGACAGCTAAAGTGAAACAGCTGTAGCTTCCCACGTGGCGTCCCACCATTGGTAGGTACAAGGGCCTGATCCCTTTGAACAGAGATGTGTCGTACAAAGTGTCCCCGCACGGTCACAGTACTCAACAATAGTCCAGCTAAGCCTGCCATCTAACGGCAACTTTTTTAATTGGGATTATTATTTTTCGGATGATGTTATATAAATAATTTTTTAAAATTATTTTTTAATATAATTTTTATATATTATTAAATAAATAAATATATTTAATATTATAAATTTCATGTAAATTAAAAAAATTAATAATTTAAATAATATATTAAATTGTAAAAAAAAAAAATACAAAATCCTACCATCATTTCCCTTATTTTTTTCAATTTTCCCCTTTTTTCAAATCCCACGTGGACAAAAATTTTCTGATCTGGCATCTGATCTGGACATGTGCTTCCACAACAAGTCATGTGATGCTTCTGTAAGAAGCCATACATCTTTCTGCTATAAAAGGAGAGGCTCTAGTGGGTCTCCATGCAATATTTCAGAGAAGAAGCTTCGCTGAGTTGTCTCTCTTCTTACTCTGTATTTCTTCAAATGGCTGTCTTCCTTAAGATGTCTGTTTTTCTGAGCTACTTTGTGGGTCTTGTAATGGTGGGTCTGGTTAGCTCAGCAAAATTTGATGAGCTTTTCCAACCAAGCTGGGCTATGGATCACTTTATCTATGAAGGAGAGCTTCTTAAGCTCAAACTGGATAACTATTCTGGTAAAATATCACCCTCCTCTTCTCCAAAATCAATACTTTTCTCAGTTCTTATACTATTTACCATTTCAAAAACCCATAAATCATATCAAGTGTTCTATCTATGCTTTACTTCAGCATTTCTTCGAAATCCCTCCAAAAAGAAGCCTCGATAAACGGTGGGTTTTGGGTGAAAACAGATGGATTTTCATAAAAATGACTTGTATTTGAAATGGTTGGTTTGGTAGCAAGTGTTTTCTCTCGGGACTGCCCTGTTTCGGCTTTTGATTGGTACATAATTTCTTAGAGATATCTTCAAAATGATGGATAAATGCTTGTAAAATTATTGATGAAATGTTGGGTTGGTGAAAACAGGGGCTGGGTTTGCATCAAAAAGCAAGTACATGTTTGGGAAAATCACCATTCAGATTAAGCTTGTGGAGGGTGACTCGGCTGGGACTGTCACTGCGTTCTATGTGAGTTTTCAGTGTTTCAAAACCCTTAACTATAAAGATAAAAGCATGCTTTAATCTTGATTTCTTTTACCATAACTCTGTTCCTGATTCAACCTGCCCCTTTTTTACAAGCTTTATGTGTACCCGTATTGTGGTTTCCAGCTCAGCTGGCGTACATAGAAATCATGGCTCTGGGTCACCTCCATATGGGTCTCCTGTGATCAAGAATGATTCATAAAAGTTAATCCAAATGCAATTACCGTTTACCCATTTGAAGACAATTAAAATTTGGCCTTTTCTGAACTCAATAGCAGCTACCTACCCTATTACCTTCTCGTGACTCTCTTTAAAGACCATTCATGTCTTCATTTGGTTTTGCAAAAGTCCCCACCAAAATCCCTATTTAAGTCGTTGTCTAGGAATCACTGAATCAGTACTATTCATAGAGCAGAGACTTTAAATCTTTAACTGATTAATCTTTTTTACCAAAAAAAAAAAAGAACTGATTAATCTTGAGTCATGTTCCACTAGCGTTCACTAATTTCCTAAGTGCTGTGATGATTATGAAATCTTTGGTTATCCAGATGTCATCGGACGGTCCAAACCACAATGAGTTTGATTTTGAGTTCTTGGGGAACACCACAGGGGAGCCATACCTTGTCCAGACAAATGTGTATGTCAATGGTGTGGGCAACAGAGAGCAGAGATTGAACCTTTGGTTCGATCCTACCAATGACTTCCACTCCTACTCTATTTTGTGGAACCAGCGTCAAGTTGTGTAAGCACCCTTATCCCTTTCCTTTTTATGTATTTTATACGTATATCCGTAATGTAAAGCTGCTTAAGAAACCAAACGCTAAGACAAGGGAACCGATCTTTGGAAGATATGTGTTGAGAGGTTCCCATACAAGCTCATCCAGGTACAGACAGATTCTGTGTCATGTATGTAATAGGACATTACACAATATATGGGACCTCCCTACCGCTCTGTGCTTGTCTGTGTGGGAAATTGGGACAAAAGAAAAAATTCTTGGTATTTGTTATCTTTTCATAAACTAAGTCTGGGGCTATCATAAAACTATTCAATTAAGTGTGTAATTTCCTAAAGTTACACTCTTTTTGGCACTTTATTGTAGATTTCTGATTCTAGGTATTGTAAGAAATTCTCATGAGTACTGTTGTAATTCCTTTTTGATTCAGGTTTTTGGTGGATGAGACACCAGTAAGAGTGCACACCAATATGGAAAACAAAGGAATCCCTTTCCCTAAGGACCAAGCCATGGGAGTGTACAGCTCCATATGGAATGCCGATGACTGGGCCACGCAGGGCGGACGGGTCAAGACTGACTGGACCCACTCACCCTTCATTGCTACCTACAAGGGTTTTGAGATTGATGCCTGTGAGAGCCCGGTGTCAATGGCTGCAGCAGACACTGCCAAGAAATGCAGTAGTGGTGGTGAGAGGAGGTACTGGTGGGATGAACCAACGATGTCTGAATTAAGTCTGCACCAAAGCCACCAGCTTCTCTGGGTTAGGGCTAACCACATGGTCTATGACTACTGCACTGACGCTACAAGGTTCCCAGTCAAGCCAGTGGAGTGCGAGCACCACCGCCACTAGCAGTGGAGAGATGATGGACGGAAAAGGGGTTTTGGGTGCTTTGTAAAGAAAATGATCTTTGGTCATAAAGCATGCGCTCCATGTTTCATATTTTGTTTCCAACTCTAGTTTCATCATTGTATGGAAGATAATTTCATAGATTACTAATGTTAATTATTATTATTGTTATTATTAGTTTAGAATTTCTGTTTAGACATTGACCGGCCACTCCTTCTCTCTCTCTCTCTCTTCTTCTTCTTTTTTATTTTTATTTATTTTTTATTTATTTTTTTTATTTTGGTCTTCCGTGTTGTTTTCTTTGGACGTATACTACTTGCTCAATGTAATTATTTGGGTGGGTCCGACGTGTTGAATCATAATATTGGAACAGCGGCTCACGGGACCAAGAAGCAAAAACAATGATCTACGTTTTTTAAAATAATGCAGGGAAAGAGAAATGATAAAAGATTTTTTTTTTTTTTTTTGGTAATAATCGCGAGAAAATGATAGAAGGTTGGTTGGTGGGAATTGAGTTAAAGCATTATGGCCCCAAAGCTTTAGTAAAAAGGGGGAGATTGACATGGGAAGTGTAGTAGCATCTCTCTGTTGGGTTCATTTTTCTTGAATCCCACGTACTCCCTTGTTTAAATAATTGCTTGAATATATAAATTTAGTAATACTTATTGTTGAGTAGTTTTAATTAATGAAAAAAAATTTAATTATTATTCACGCTAAAAGTACACATAATACAAAGTGAATAAAATCTCTGTTAAGCAAAATATAAATGGTACTAAGAGGATTGACTATATATCTCTTCTAGACTCCTACCATGCTAAATGACAAAGGCCTAATGGGTCGGAAAAATATGTACCATTAGGTTGAAGGAGGTAGCACTTCTTTTGGAATCATTTGATAAAAGTCTACTCATATACATTGTTTCTATTTGACTCTTGATCCACATCCACAGAATTGCTGTTCTGAGAAGGCAAGAGCAATAAATGGATACCAACATATCAATAAAAAAATCCCCAACACAAGATAAAGAGAGTGCACAAGTATCTAAATCATCACATTCTGGTATAATCATCTCTATCAAGTTTTATTTTGATTGCTACATGCAAGCTTTATATTGATTGCTACATGCAAGCTTTATATTGATTGCTACATGCAAACCAAAGCTTTGACAATGCACTTGGAATCTCAGCTACATTACTAAAGTGCATCCATAGTCTGTTGAGCTTAACACGATTTGAGTATTACAGATGACACATGCCTTGTGAAAATTCCCTCATCCTGAAAACTCCGCAATGTTTAAAAACAGAAAGTAAGCTAAAGCTTTACAATTTACTTTGTATTTCCTTTCAAAGTAGGTTTACTAGAAAGTAATATAGGATTGGATTGATCATCCAAAGTTAAAATAGGTGTAACAGAGCTTGTCCAATGACAAGCAATGCATCTTACAAACCTCAAGATTAAATTCACTAATCAGTAAGTGTTGATTTATAAGTTAGGTTTAGAATTTAAATTTTAGAATTAATATCTAAAAAAATTAATTTTCTTAAATGCACTAAGTCAATGTAAATGGTGCATTCTTAAAATTGTCCATGAAAAAAATTAATTTTAAAGTGAATGAAATCTGATCCAAAATTCTCTAATCAAAAAAAAAAAAAAAAAAACAAACAAACAAACAAACATTGCATCTTACAATTTACATGCATTGACCGTGTGCATTTGTCTACATGTCCCCACACACACGCTCTGCTCTTTTCCACCATAAACCATCTACCTAATATTGCTAAACCATTCACAAAATATGTTGTATGTTGATAATCTAATGGACTAAAGGACATAATTTGGTGTGGTGGGCCCTAGAAATTGAATTTCATGGTTAGTTTCTATGAGTTTAGTTCCGTGTTTGGGACAATTAATCACGTTTATATTATGCATTTTGATCGCAATAATTCAAAGCACATATCCCATACATAAGAGGGAAGAAAGAGAAAGAAATCCACCGACGAAAAAAGAGTAGAGGGTATCTTAAATGATGTTGTCGAGAAAAGTCGATATGGGTCAATTTTGAAATTAAATGATTCATTAGGGGACCCTCTGAAATGCAAAGAAAAAAAATTCACAAAAAGTTTGTGGTGTGTGAAAGATGCGAAAATTTTAATCATTATCATTGCAAGTCCCCCAAACAAGAAATCTCTATATAAATAGTATTAGGATGAAATTCAATTGGTATGAGGGGTGACGGGGCTAGAAGAGACAAGTGAGGAATAAAACAGCTGTGTAAGCAACTAGATTTATCCAGTCCCTCCTTCAATGGAAAAAGAATTGCTGGAAGAGAGATAAGGTACCCTAGAAGAAAATATATCCTCATAGTGGGTGATCTTTCAGCCTTGGTTACAGTTACGTAACCATCGACTTAATAATGGCTTAATCTGTATAATTACTAGCTCACAAACAATAATTGAACTAGATACTCGTGTTTTAATCAAAGAATCAACATTGGACAGTCGTCGATGATAGCCTAAAAACAACTTTCCTTCAATGGATCTAAAAGCAAACTTGAATTCAGCTCATATTTATTCCATATAGAATAATCAGCACTAAACAATGGTATTTCTAGCTGTGTCAAGAATCTCAATTAGAGAATCTCACATGCAATAGGAAATGTGAAGTACAACCTTGAAAATCAAGTCAGCTAACTTACTCACAAAATTATTCATATATGATCCCTTGAAAGATAAGAAATGTTTTGCAATGTTTCTGGGAAGGAAAATAATAGCAAAGTAACATCAGCAAATCAAAGCCAAAAGAAGAAAAAGAGATAGATTGTATATTTGCGAATCAACATGACATTGTTTGCCTGTTTCCCAGTGGAATAGTTATGTTTTATGTCCGTTCAGGTGTGTTAAAATCTATGGCAGTAGATCAATGTCGTTATGTGCTACAAGAAAGTGAAAATATGATTGCTGCATACTCTGATATAGATAAGTACCCATGTTGATGTTACATAACATAACATTTTCTCATCCCATGACATTTCATATTTTCCAAGAATCATAATCCTTTCTAGTATTATAATAAATCTTTGGCTGATGTTTGGTTAAATGGAAGAGATATTGAGTGGTTTTCAAAAGAACAGAAGGTAAAACTAAGGGAGAGTATGGCAAAGTAGGAATTGATATTCCACACTAGCAATTATTTTGTTGAAAAAGGTAGGAATAACTAAAAGTCTAAAACCTAAGTGCTCATTTAATTGAGAGTGATAGCTATTACGTAGTCAAAACTGTAAATATGTATTCACCACTTCCTTCATAAGACTAGTATTCAATCTCTTAATTTAGTATAGAATTATAACTATTTTAAGGAATACCTTTTCTTAACTTTTTAAATAATCTTCCCAATTTTACTTTATTTCTATAGTTTGACTAAGAAATAGCTATTACTTCCAACCATGGATAGTGGCAATAACTATTCACAACAAATTGTCATTCATTGAAAGAAAATATGTAACCTTGTAGTATATTTGAGGGGAAGGGAGGGAAAGATTTTTTGATCAATTAAATTATAACTTTTTTTTTTTTAAATGTTATAGTTTGATTTGTCAAAAAATCTTCCCCTTCCCTCCCCTCAATTCCCTTCAACCCAAACATACACTTACTCTCATCTTTTTCCTAAATGGACATTATGTCACTCCTTTTTTTCTTATTTTCATACAATTTTGTGTGATAATCATAAAATAGCCATGCTATAGAACCAAATATGACCTTAACCTGATCTACACAATGCAATACTTCAACTAGAAACCTCAAAAAAGTAATTTCATTGGGGTGACTCAACTGTTAAGAGTTTAAGATTTCAAATTGAAGATTTCAAATTCGAACATTGAATCAAGTGGGGAGGGATTTGGAAATGAGGGAGGGTTATCTCTTTTTGTATAATCTATTGTTAGATGTACCACACAAAAAAAAAAAAAAAAAAAAAAAAAGAAACCCCAACAAAGCACAGTTAATAGTTACGCAAATATGCATTATTAGGCCTAGATCTTCTTGTGAAGAACAATGAAAACCTAAAATGAAGAAACTGCATAAAACCAATGCAATTTTCTTCCAATTTTCATAAACCATAACATGTAATTACTGAACAAAATAAACAATTAGCAAAACATATTATGGGGAGAGATAGTGGACTTATGGATTGAAGGTAAGGTTGAGCACTTTGAACAGTCACTGAATCTTCTGTTTGATCACAATGTTTGCAGATCGTAAGAGGCTTTATTTTTGTTCTAAATTACACGCCATTTTCTGTGTAATCCCAAAAGATGAATGGAATGGGAAACCTTTCAATTTTTCTGAGTTGGGTCAAGTACAAAACGGACGAAAGCACTATGCTTAAATTTTGGAAATTATTAAAGTATTAGTCTAGGCTATGTCTAGGACGGTAAATCCAATAGATTTTGGCTTAGCATTCATGGCCTAGTTTGTCTGCGGAATTATAAGGTCGGTGCAGTGTTTGTCCTTGCTTTTTGATTGAAATTCTCTTGAATTTGTGTCCATTATTCTGCACATTCATGCCGTTCTCCATACATCAAGTTCATTTTGTCATCTGTGATTTAGGTGCCACACTCCCCCTTTTCTAGATTCATATATATAATCAGCAATGACGTCAGCAATTGATTAAGTTCTTATTTTCTTACTGTTATGGATTTGCTGGATCATGTTCTGGATTTTCTTACTTTTATGAGTTGATGTTGCGAATCTGTGAATTCGTAAGTTTACAGGACTAACCCAACATTGGTTTTCCTTAAACTTGGTTCCTTGTTTATTCTCAAAGCCCTTTCATCCTTAGGGCTTATCCCTCTGTTCATTCTACTCTCTATTTTCCCTCTCTAAAATGCAAGATTTCTCTTCAAATCTCTTGAAGGGCTTCTCAAAGGTATTGAGACACTCCAATGCTTCTTATTTTTGCTTCCCTTTTTTTTTTTTTTACTTATTCTTCTTTGAATTTATGTGATTTATTTAAGGTTTTTGTCATTAGAGTATAGCCCCAAAGTTTAGGCCAGCTTCTCTGATCATTCACGGGTTATTCTGGTGC